CAATCACATAATTCCCCAGCCTATATTGATACCAAGGGTTGCCTCAACCCAGGTGTAGGACCTTGTACTTGGCCTTGTTGAACTTCATGAGGTTCACACAGGCCCACTTCTCCACCTCTGAAACAGCAGCTAGAGCCCCATGACATATACTAGACATTTCAAAAGGCAGCTGAGTCAGGTGGAACATGACCAAAATCTCTACATATGGATGTTCCCACGTGAACTCTAAGCTCCTTCTGCAGTCAGTGGAGACAACAGGGCACAATCTAAGGTGCTTAAACTGAAGTACCTGCTGCCTTTTGGGGCTCCATTGAGTACAGAAGGCATCTGCATAAGGCTGGAAAACCCAACACAGGACTTCAGGATGACTGATGCCCTTAAACAGCAACAGCTGGAGGTCAGGCAGGACATCTTGGGCAGCACAGATGGGACTAGCTGGCTGTTAGGTGACTAGAGAATGCTCATATCTACAGTGCTTCAGTTTCCACTACAGCAGCATCTAGTGGTTAGTCATCTGAATAGGTCCTGTAGGCTCCACCTTGGCTAGACCATCTCTGAGAGTGGGAGCTGGACACCTGCTTTGCATGCAGACCTCTGTGCTTAGACACCTACACTGAGAAGCCTTAATTGTGAACTCAAGCCCTCCCCAGCTGTGTCCCCAGCTGGGACAAATGGCTGAACACTGAGGAAAGATACTGACCTATTCCAAAGTGCTCGTTCCACATGGTGTGCAGGCCGATGGTGGCCTCGGCCAGGTGTCTCTTTAGCTCCTCAAAGGGAATGTTTATTCTGAAAGTTACATTGTTACTAACTCCCAGATCTTCACAAAGACGTTTAAGGTTATTTACACGCTCCTCATCTTGCTGGTTACGACAGCCTCCAATTAAGATAAGCTTCAGTGATGGCTGCTGCTCCAGCCTCTTCTCTTTCAGCAATTTAGCAAAGGCTCTGACTTGCAAAGGATGATCTTTTTCAGGCCTGAACTGGCTGACAGAAACAACTGAATATTCTGTGGTGCTCTTTTCCTCTTCCAGTGGAATATCCAGGAAGGTCTGAACATCACACGGTGGATACACAATATTAGGGTAAGCCCCAGCTCTCCAGAGGGAAAGGATGTGATTTAGGGTCCAAGAAGAATTAACCATGATCACATCACTGCAGGAACCAACCAATCCGTACATGAAAGCAAAGTAGTAGTAGTAGACAAGTTTCAATTTGCTGAAAAGAGGATTGTTTGTAATGAAGGCTGCATTGTTAAACCTGGTATCCTGATTCCTAACAACAGAAAGCATATCGGTGCTGATAGTGGGGTAATGGACATAGCATCCAACGTGACAGCCTCCTAAATACTTAAAGAGGGGAAGCGTGAAGGCATAACCCATTGAGTCAATATAAATATCAGGAACACACTTTAGAAGAGCTTCCCAGCCGAGAAATACTGATCCTAAACTTTGTCCCAGCAAAGTGAAGTGAGGGTAAAGAGACGCTTCCACAAGGTAACGTTTTTCTAGAAATACAAACTTCACAGGATGAATTAGTTTAATATTGAATCTTCTGAAAGCGCCTTCTACTATTTCTTCTTCAGTGGCATCTCTATCACCAGTGTAAACAACACACGTTACATTTCTGTACCTGCAAGAGTAAAGAAAAATAATTTCACACATTCTTTTCTTTACATTTTGTAACATGAGACTAAAATATTATCCATTCAAAATTACTCAAAAAGCACGTGAGAACAAATGTCTGGCCTAGCTCTGAAATTATTTTAACTAAATTATACTTTTCCTTATACTTCCACGTTTTTTTCTGATCTGCAGAAAAACATATGGTTGAGGACTTGGGGAGTATTTTTTTAAGTAAAACATAAAAAGAGTTCAGTATTATTCTACAGACTTAAGAACACCTTGCCCTACATTAGGAGATGTCTGCCTAGCGCACAGCATGAGTAAATGCAGAAGACTGTGCAAGCTGGTGGATGTGCTAGTGTTAAATCCACTTTAGATATGAGCTTTTTCTGCCTCTTGCACCAAGAGCCATATATCAAGATTATCAGTAATCTGCTGACAAGTTATGCCCATACAAAGTTCCATACTGGAAAACTGATGGGGTGGGAGGGGTTCTTCCAAAGACAGAAAGAAGTGAGACACACCGCAGCAGGACAGGTCAAAATCTAGGTAAACGGTTGAAATAGAATGGTGAAAGTCTGATGTAAAAAAAACAATGTAGGACCAGCAGATTAATGATACTTATTTAGGTATCTAAAATGCCAAAACATGCATAAAAACCATCAGTAGCTAATTAAACACGGTATCTGATAAAAACATATGCTTACTTTTTCTGGAGCGTTCTTATGGCACACCACAGGACTCTCTCCCCTCCACCACCTGCATTGCAATATGGGTGAAAAAATGCAACCAGCAACGGCCGCTTCCTGCTGAGGACAACTGTTCTTTCCTTTGCCGTATCCAGAGCCGTATTCCGCACAGCAGTACCACCAAGCAGATCGACAAAATTCCACTTAGATAAAATGCAGGGGTTAACAATGAGCACAACAATCTGAAACAAGCCAGAAATTTTAAAATATAAAACTGCTTTAAAGAAATACTGTGTATGAAATCGAGTGCGATGGGCTTACAGGCAGAGCTCCAGAGAGTTCAACAATTTCTCAAATTCTGATCTCAGGGACCCTCAATATCTGCGTCTAATTTCAAAAATTACAGGAAAAAAAAAATCACAGTTCTACATTGTTTAGCTAAATATATTTTCCCGTTACTTTTTAATAATTTATTATTGTTTACTCATATCTATATCCATGTGCTATATACACTGTAAAGGCTGCATGCCCTTAGCAATCTGGCAAAACACAACTAGCAAAGATATTTCTAAATAAAATTTTAGGAGCTTTCTTCAGTCCAAGGTCCCGTTTGGCCTCCCGTTGTGTGAAGGGCTTTGGTGCAGAGCTACTCAGGCCAGCCTGCATGCAGCACATGGTCCCCTGAGATTTGAGGAGCTGTGTCAATTGTCCAGCAAAGCTCTGAGCATTTTCTCTGTTTAGAAAGACCAGTTTCTTCAGGTCTCTGAAGCACTCTCCCACAGGGGCATTCCCTTTGCTCACCACTGCCTCCCTGCGTAGCTCTACTAATGGGTTAGTGGGAGCTTTCTCACAGGAGTCTCTTCCGGGCCTACGGAGCTTCGCAGGCAACAGAGCCTGGGTTCTGATTTACTCGACACCAAAGGGGTTGCCCACGGCGAGCCACGCGTCACGACGGACACGCCAGGTACGAAAACACTTTCATTTTCGGGATGAAGAAGCGGACAAGCGCAGTAGCTCATCCGAGGCTGGCGGCTGAGCGACAAGAAGCCTGGCAGGGGCCCGTCCCACCTCACCCTGCCCGGCGGCCTCCTCTCCTCAGGGAGGGCACAGCGTGGAGGTGCGGGCTCATGGGGAAGTTCGGCTACGGCTTGACAGGGGGCCATGGAGGCGCGGGCCCTCCTTCTCCCCTCCCTCTCCGTTGCCAAGACGCGCCGCCCCCACATACGGCCGCCTTCGCGCTCCGGTACCTGATGAGCCCACACAGGCACAACCCTCCCTCCACCATCTTGAACG